GGTGGAGCTCCCTTTTCACCAAAACTCTTCCAGGAGTGAATTTCCCATCTAAGAGGTAGATTTCTCTCACTTCCTGTTGTCTCAGCCTTTCTTAACTATGGGTTGCTGTGTGTGTATTTGATGCTCTGTTTTACGCATTTTGTGCCATATGTAAGCCGCTCCGGGTCCCTTTGGGAAGATGGAGGCGGGATACAATAATAAAGTTATTATTATTATACTAGTCAGGTGTTTGTAACTAGAGGACTGTTAAATATATATACTATACACACATACACATAAACACCCAGGCCGCTCTTCCCAACAGGTTTCCTGTCCATTTGGGCCCCTCCTTGCCACAAGCGAGGCCCAAAGAAAGAAAGAGCGAGGTGTTTACACTTTGTTGACACTCCAGTGGAAACCTCCGCCTGAGCCAGTCCCCGCCTGTACGCACAGCCCTGGAGATCCCCGCGTTTCCTTTCGCCTCCCTCCCAAGGCCAGTCCAGGCAGAGGCGAAGAGAGGTGCCTCCCACCCTGGAGCCCCAGAGAGCCTATGATGGAACTGGACCAAACTTGGCACACACACCCAACATGGCCAACTGTGAATACAGGCGGGGGCTAGGGGTTGTCGTTCTTTTTTATCCAGAGGACATTGAACCCAGCCAACTATGAATCTGTATCAAACTTAGTATACAAACCCAACATGACCTACTGCGAATACTGTGAGGGTTTGGGAGTGATTGCCCTGGGAATCTGGGAGTTGTAGTTCGCCCTTATCCAGAGAGCACTAAACTGAGATGACTATGGATCTGGACCAAACTTGGCATACAAACTCAACATGACCTACAGCAAAGACTGTCAGGGTTTGGGAATGATTGCCCTGGGAGTTGTAGTTCACCCTTAACCAGAGAGCACTAAACCGAGCTGACTATGGATCTGGACCAAACTTGGCATACAAACACAACATGACCTACAGCAAATACTGTCAGGGTTTGTGAGTGATTGCCCTGGGAATCTAGGATTTGTAGTTCTTTCTTATTCAGAGAGCACTGAACCCAGCCTATGATTTATCTGGATCAAACTTGGCATACAAATCCAACATGACCTACAGCAAAGACTCTCAGGGTTTGGGAGTGATTGCCCTGGGAGTTGCAGTTCACCCTTATCCAGAGAGTACTAAACTGAGATGGCTATGTATCTGGACCAAACTTGGCATACAAACCCAACATGACCTACAGCAAATACTGGCTGGGTTTGGTGGTGATTGCCCTGGAATCTGGGAGTTGTAGTTCGCGCTTATCCAGAGAGCACTGAGCCCAGCCGATGAGAGATTTGGGCCAAACTTGGCACACAGATCTAACATTGCCAGACTGTCAGGGTTTGGGAGTGAGTGCCCTGGGAATCTGGGAGTTGTAGTTCACCCTTATCCGGAGGGAGGGAGGGGAGGGAGGGAGTGCTTTGGGATCCTGGCGGCTGTAGTTTGACAAGGTCTTCCGCCTTCTCTGCCAAACTATGAGCCGTGGCAGTTCAGGCGGTGCCGAAACGACATTAACTCTCGCGTGTAGATGCGTCCAGGGATTCACACTGAGTTCTCCCCGACTCCCCTACGCGCGGGGATGGTTGTTTTGTTATCATTGTGTGCCTTCGAGTCCTTTCCGACTTATGACACTCCTATCACGCGGTCTTTCTGGGTCTTACCTCCCTCCGAGGCTGAGAGAGCTACAGTTCGGGGAGACCCTTTAGAGGCGGTTTGGGCAAACTTGGGCCCTCCGGGTGTTTTGGACTTCAACTCCCACAATTCCTAACAGCCGGTAGGCTGTTAGGAATTGTGGGGGTTGAAGTCCAAAACACCCGGAGGGCCCAAGTTTGCTCAGGCCTGCTTGAGAAGCCGAGAAGCCTCAAGACCTTGCAAACTACAACTCCCACGGTTCCAAAGCAGCTCAATGCGTATCCCTTCTGCAGTGGTGATCAAACCCAGCTCGAGAACCCCCTCCCTGTGCTGCCCCTTTCCTTTCCTTACCGTCCCTTTCCCTCTCCTCCTCCTCCTCGTCCTCCTCCTCCTCCGTCCGCCCAAGGCGAGCGGGGCTGTTTTCGGAGCGCCGAGTTCAAGCCGAGTGTCGTCAACGGGAGCAGGAGCGGCGCTTTTGGGAAGCCAAGGGAGGAGGAGGAGGCGGAGGAGGAAGAGGAGGAGGAGGAGGAGGGAGGCGCGAAGGAGGCCGCAGAGACGGGCTCTTTCCAAGGAAGCGGCCCAGGCCAACGGGCGCCTTTCCCGCCTCTATGGACAGGGGCAAGCCCTGGGAGCGGAGGGCAAAGGCCAGCTCGGAAGCAACCCACAGCAGGGTGGAGTGGCCGGACTTTGCGCTTTCTTTGGCAGGCTCCACTGCACGCACTTGAACCGCCCTGGGCGCCAAAGCTATGGAAACGTCGGACTCTGACTGTGAGAGCCATTCAGCTGTGGAACTCTCTGCCCCGGGGTGTGGTGGAGGCTCCTTCTTTGGAAGCTTTTAAAAAGAGGCTGGATGGCCACCTGTCGGGGGTGCTTTGAATGCAATATTCCTGCTTCTTGTCAGGGGGTTGGACTGGATGGCCCATGAGGTCTCTTCCAACTCTGATTCTATAAGTCCGCCTGTCTCCTTCTCTGCTGGGGCCTCTCCCTGGATTCCGAAGCATTGGAGCGCTGACCAGCTAAAAGGCGGTCAAACTGCATTCATTGGACATGAAAGGCACACGACGACAGCAGAAGGAAGACTCTCCCCGGCAAAGGAAGAAAAGGAAGTGGGCTTGTCCTGCAGGAAGAGAAGGGGATCTTCCCAAACGCAGGCATGGGCCAATTTGGGCCCTCCAGGTGTTTTGGACTCCCAACTCCCACTATTCCTAAAAGCCTCATGTCCCGCGGCTGAGGTGGAAAAGGAAAGGGCCTGAGGCTGTTAGGAATGGTGGGAGTTGAGTCCAAACCGCTGAGGGCCAGGAGGAGCTGCAGATAAGGAAAGGAGGGGAAGGGGAAAAAGAGAGAGAGAGAGGAGAAAGCAAAGAAGAAGGAAAGAAAGGAAGGAAGCAAGGGGCAGGAGAAAGGAAAGGAAAGGAAAGGAAGGAAAGGAAAGGAAATGAAAGGAAAGGAAAGGAATGGAAAGGAAGAAGAAGGAAAGGAAAAGGAAAGGAAAGAAAGGAAAGGGAAAGAAAGGAAGAAAGAAGAAGGAAGGAAGGAAGGAAGGAAGAGAAGGAAGGGAGAAGGAAAAAAAAGAAAGAAAGAAAGCAGAGGGAAGGAAGGAAGGAAGGAAGGAAGGAAGGAAGGAAGGAAGGAAGGAAGGAAGGAAGGAAGGAAAGAAAAAGAAAGGAAGGCAGCATAGAGAAGAAAGAGTTAAGTGGGGAAAAGGTGTTAAGAGGAATGGTGGGAGTTGAAGTCCAAAACACCTGGAAGGCCCAAATTGGCCCATGCCTGCTCTAAAGGGAAGTGAAGTGGAAAGGAAGGAAGGAAGGGGAGAAAGAAAAAAAGGAAGGAAGGAAAGAAAGAAAGCAGAGGGAAGAAAGAGTTAAGCGGGAAGAAGGTGTTAAGAGCAAAAGGGAGGACTAAAGAGGAAATCTGGAAACAAAGCTAAGAGGCAAGAAAGTGGTGGAAAGGGGGTTAAGAAGGAAGGAAAGCAACAGTGAAGAGCAAATAAAGAAAATAGCTAAGAGGAAAAAAAGAAGTTGGGAAGAATTAATTAAGAGGGAAGGAAGGAAGAAGTGAAGAGGAAAAAATGGAGTTAAGGCAAAAGAAGGAGTTAAGAGGGAAAGAGGAAAGAAAAGGTTTAACAGGGACGGAAGGAAAAAAAGGAAGAAAGAAGTCGCCAAGATTTGAAGCTGCAAGGCTATTCAATGTGAATCAAGGAGGCCAATTGCAGCATTCACACTCGCCTCAAGCAGGCAAGAGTTTTTTCTCCCACCCTGGATATTCTATAGATATATAAACCTCACTTTCCTAGTTTCCAACAGACCTCACAACCTCTGAGCATGCCTGCCATAGATGTGGGCAAAATGTCAGGAGATTATGCTTCTGGAACATGGCCATACAGCCCGGAAAACTCACTGCAACCCAATTGTTGACTCTGGAAAATGAATCAATCAGGGCCAGCTAACACCTCCCAACAAAAGATTCTCCCAGGCAGAAAGCAGCCAGAACTTGAAGCTGAAAGACTATTCCATTTACACTTGCCTCCAACAGACAAGAATTCTTTCTCCCACCCTTGACATTCCACAGATATATATAAACCCCTTCTTGCCTAGTTTCCCACAGACCTCACAACCTCTGAGGATGCCTGCTATAGATGCAGGCGAAACGTCAGGAGAGAATGCTTCAGGAACATGCCCAGGCAGCCCAAAACACTCTCAGAAACCCGAAGAATGTAATAATAATTGGCCATGTTCCGGAAGCAATCTCTCCAGATGTTTTGCTTGCATCTATGGCAAGCATCCTCAGAGGTTGTGAGGTCGCCCATAGATGCAGGCGAAACGTCAGGAGGGAATTCTTCTGGAAACATGGCCATACAGCCCGGAAAACTCACAACAACCCAGTGATTCTGGCCATGAAAGACTTTTGCAATACAACAACAACAACAATAATCTGACAATATAGTTCTACAGTTGACTCTCAGCTGGAACTCTCAAGCAACCGGCAAAAACTACAGGAAGATAGAAGGAAGGCAGGGGTGAAGTTGGAAGGAAGGCAAGAGTGAACCGGGAAGAAGGAAAAGAGTGACGAGGGAAGGAAGGAAAGAAAAGAAAGAAAAGGAAGGAAGGAAGGAAAGAAGGAAGGAAGTAAAGAAAGAAAGACTGAAGAAAGAAAGAAGGAAAGAAAGACCGAAGAAGGAAGGAAGGAAGGAAGGAAGGAAGGAAGAAAGGAAGGAAGGAAGGAAAGAAAGAACGAAAGAAAGACCGAAGAAGGAAGGAAAGAAGAAAGGAAGGAAGGAAAGAAAGGAAGGCAGGAGTTTAGATTTGGGAGGAAGAAAAAAGGAAGGCAAGAAGAAAAAGGAAGGCAAAGGTCCTACCTGTTGCGTGGCGAGGCCGGGATAGGTGTCCGGATGGCCTGGCGACCCGCTGCTGCCCCGGGAGGAGGTGTCGAAGCTGCCGGGAAAGTCCTGGTACATGGTCCGAGGAGGCGCCCCCCTTCCCGGGCCCCGCCTCGACTCCCTTCCCTTCTTCCCGGACCTTCCAAGGCCAGGCTCAGCCTTGGCTCCCCCTCTTCTCCTTTGGCTCCTTGGCGAGCCCTTCCCTTGTGCTTCCCCTTTAAAGACAACCCAATGCCAGCCTATCCCCAACCCTTAGAACTAATTCATGGAGATGCTGCTGCTTTTTGAAAGGCTTCTTTCCCTCCCTCCCTCCCTTCCTTCTATTCTCTCTCTCGCTCTGCTTCCTGTAGTTTAAATCAAGGGCGATCTTCGCCTCCTGTATAATTAAAGCGGGAGAAAAGTGCCGGCTTCCTGCTCCGAGGTGACTCAACTAGCCTCACATCGGAAGCGCGTTATTTCTTGGGCTTTGACAACAATGCTCTTCTGGTTTATAGAGACAGATAGGCACTAGATGGATCTCTCTCTCTCTCTCTCTCTCTCCCGACTTCCTGCCTGGCTCTCCCCTTCCTGCCTCTGCCTCTCCTCCTTTTCCCGAAGTGAGTCAGGGGTGAGTTCAAGCCCGGGCTCTCGGGGCTCCTGCCATCCTTCCTCCGAGCTCTGCCTCGGAAGCTCGCCTCTTCTAAGACCATGTGGATTCGCCAAACGTCAAGCCAGGAGGCTTTTTGGGGGGCACGCCCCCTTCTTCTCTGACGCAACGCGGAACCTCCCATTTTTGGAAAAGGGAGGGAAGAGGAGGGAAAAGAAGAGAGAGAGAGGGCGCAACCATTCTGCCTCTTTCAGCCCAGGAGCGCAGTCCATTTGCTCACTCGCTGCCCCACCCCGAAGTGGCACGGAGCTTGCATGGTCTCGTCCAGACTGATAGCCCCATCCTTCTCTCCCGGCACCCCCACACTTTGACATTTTGGTCTCTTCCATTGTCGCAGGCCCTCCTGGCCAAAGATGGGCATTTGCGTCGCGCGACGCCAGCGCGGGTTTCCTTGGCGAGAGTGACGTGGCAGGCGCGCGAGGGATTCCCTGCGAGAGAAGGGAGGGGGCACAAAAACACCCATAAAGCGGACCGAAACCGCTTCACCTCCCTTCAAAGCTGGATCTCGATTCATGTCAAGGGCCCTTGTGGTGGTCTCTTCCATCTCTAGGGTTTATTGTCGAAGGCTTTCATGACCGGAATCAGTAACTTTCTGAGAGTTTTCTGGGCTGCCTGGCCACATTCCTGAAGCATTATCTCCTGACGTTTCACCTGCATCTATGGCAGGCATCCTCAGAGGTTGTGAGGTCTGTGGGAAACTAGGCAAGCAGGCTTTATATATATTCCACAGATATATAATTGGACATTCCACAGATATATATATATATAGAGAGAGAGAGAGGACATTCCACAGATATATATATATATGTGTGTGTGTGTGTGTGTGTGTGTGTGTGTGTGTGTGTATCAATCATCTGTGGAATGTCCAGGGTGGGAGAAAGAACTCTTGTCTGTTGGAGGCATGTATGAATGGAATAGTCTTTCAGCTTCAAGGTCTGACTGCTTTCTGCCTGGGGGAATCTTTTGTTGGGAGGTGTTAGCTGGATCTGATTGATTCAGTTTCCAGAGTCAAAAATTGGGTTTGATGAATTTTCTTGGCCGTATGGCCATGTTCCACAAGAATCCACAGAGGTTGTGAGGTCTGTTGGAAACTAGGCAAGTGGGGTTTGGGTTGTTGTACGTTTTTCAGGCTGTATGGCCATGTTCAACCTCTGAGGATGTCTGCCAAAGATGCAGGTGAAAGGTCAGGAGAGAATGCTTCTGGGCAGGCATGTAGCCAGGGGGGGGGCTTGGGTTGCTTCAGCCCCCCCCCCCCAAAATTCTCATGGTGGTTCACGAAAAGGCCTTACTGTGCATTATTTAAACTGTTATGTTTATTCATATCATGATCTGATCACCATACCCAATATATCTCATATGCATGGGGGTATTGGGGTAATGTTACAAAAGGTTTGCTAGGGTAGACCCTCTTTCACTCAGACTCAGCCCCCCCCCCCCGAAATCCTGGCTACGGCCTGCTTCTGGAACATGACCATACAGCCCAATAAACCTCAGCATCCTCAGAGGTTGTGAGGTCTGTTGGAAACAATACAAGTGGGGTTTATATATCTGTGGAATGTCCAGGGTGGGAGAAAGAACTCTTGTCTGTTTGAGGCAAGTGTGAATGTTGCAATTGGCCACCTTGATTAGCATTTAATGGCCTTGCAGTTTCAAGGTATGGCTGCTTCCTGCCTGGGGGATCCTTTGTTGGGAGGTGATAACTGGCCCTGTTTGTTTTTTCTCTGAAACACTCAAAAACAAAGGAATTCCGACAAATAACAGTCAAGGTCAGCGAATCACCTCTCAACAAAGATTTCCCCCAGGCAGTAAGCAGCAAAGCTTTGAAGCTGCAAGGGTCTTCAGTGCTTTTTTTTCATAACAGGAGCAACTTGAGAAACTGCAAGTCACTTCTGGTGTGAGAGAATTGACCGCCTGCAAGGATGTTGCCCAGGAGACACATCCTTGCCAATGTTTTATCATACTTGTGGGAGGCTTCTCTCATGTCTCCACATGGGGAGCTGGAGCTGACAGAGGGAGCTTATCTGTGCTTTCCCTGGATTCAAACCTCCGACCTGTCTTCAGTCCTGTTAGCACAATGCTAACAGGACTGAGAGCGGGGTACCAACCGAAATAAATGAAATAAATAAGCTCTAGGGTTCAGCAATACTGAGGTGGGCCCTAAACTGCAGCTACACTGTAGGGCGCATTTGTAGCATTTTTTTTGGTCATGTCAGGAGCGACTTGAGAAATTGAAAGTCACTTCTGGTTTGTATGTAGCATGAAGGCACCACTGTCATTGTTAACAGTTCTATGTTTACTTCTAATTTAGTGCTTATAAAGGATTCCCCCAGGCAGCAACCAGGCAGGCTTTGAAGCTGCAAGGCCATTCAGTGCTAATCAAGGTGGTCAATTGCAACATTCACACTTGCCTCAAACAGACAAGAGTTCTTTCTTCCACCCTGGACAGATATATTAATCCCACTTGCTTATTTTCCAACAGACATCTTGGCCTCTAAGCATGCCTGCCATAGATGTGGGCGAAACTTCAGGAGAGGATGCTTCTGGAACAGCCTAGTGCTTATATTTTACAGGTTTTACATTTTATTCTTTTTAGTGTTGTGTGAGCCGCTTTAAGGCTCCTTTAGGGGAAGAACATAATGGAATAATAATAATAATAATCTGACAATATAGTTCTATAGTGGACTCTCAGTTAACCAGAACTCTCAAGCAACTGGCAAAAACTACAGGAAGGGCTCTATTCTCTCTTGATCAGACCACACCTGGAATACTGTGTCCAGTTTTCGGCACCGCAATTGAAGGGAGATGTTGACAAGTAGGAATGTGTCCAGAGAAGGGCCACTAAAATGATCAAGGGTCTGGAGAACAAATCCTATGAGGAGCAGCTTAAAGAGCTGGGCTTGTTTAGCCTGAAGAAGAGAAGGCTGAGAGGAGACATGATGGCCATGTATAAATATATGAGGGGAAGTCATAGGGAGGAAGGAGCAGGCTTGTTTTCTACTGCCCTGGAGACTAGGACGAGGAATAACGGCTTCAAACTACAGGAAAGGAGATTACACTTGAACATTAGGAAGAACTTCCTGACTTTGAGAACTGTTCAGCAGTGGAACTCTCTGGAGTGTGGTGGAGGCTCCTTCTTTGGGGGCTTTTAAACAGAGGTTGGATGGCCATCTGTCGGGGGTGCTTTGAATGCAGTTTTCCTGCTTTTTGGCAGGGGGTTGGACTGGATGGCCCACAAGGTGTCTTCCAACTCTATGCTGTAGAATTGTGGGGGTTGCAGTTTGGCAGGGCACCGCTGCGCTTGTCAAACTACAATTCCCAATGCTTCTGCTGCTCAGTGGGATCCTTGAACTCCCAGGGCCCTTCCACACAGCCCTATATCCCAGAATATCAAGGCAGAAAATCCCACGGTATCTACTTTGAATTGGGTTATCTGAGTCCACACTCAGATATTCTGGGATATAGGGTTATGTGAAAGGGCTCTCAGATAACCCAGTTCAAAACAGGAATTGTGGGATTTTCTGCCTTGCTATTCTGGGATGTAGGGATGTGTGGAAAGGCCCCCAGTGGACTATGCTGCTTCCTCGGAGGGTAGTGGACTCTCCTCTGGAGGTTTTTAAGCAGAGGCGGGATGGCCATCTACTGGGAGTGCTTTGAATGCGATTTTCCTGCTTCTTGCCAGGGGATTGGACTGGTTGGCCCATGAGGTCTCTTCCAACTCTAGGATTCTGTGCTGTGGAATCATGGGGGTTGTAGTTTGGTGGGACACCGGCATGCTGGAGACCTTGTTAAACTACAATTCCCAATACTTCTACTGCTGGATGAGATCCTTGAACTCCCAAGGCCCTTCCACACAGCCCTGTATCCCAAAAAATCAAGGCAGAAAATTCCCCAGTATCTACTTTGAACTGGATTATCTGAATCCACACTCAGCTAATGTGGGTTTTCCTGCCTTGATATTCTGGGATATAGGGATGTGTGGAAGGGCCCCCAGTGGACTATGCTGCTTCCTTGGAGGGTGGTGGACTCTCCTCTGGAGGTTTTGAAGCAGAGACTGGATGGCCATCTGTCGGGAGGGCTTTATGTATCCAATGACTGACCGAACGGGGTCCGACTGAATGGCTCTGGGGTGTGTGTGTCTTCTACAATTCTGTGGAGGAAGGAATAAACGGGTCAAGGAGAGAGGCTTGTGCCCAGTATTTGGGAATGAAAAACAGAGGACTCCGTGGGATTTCACGCCCAGGAAACACGAGGCCGGGGGAGGGTGCAACCTCCTCCATTTCCACAGAAATTGCGTGGAGAAACTTGTGCGTAAAAGCCGTGCGTCAAAGCGCTTTGGAAAGAAAGGCAAAGCCGCAAATGCAAAGAGAGAGAGAGAGAGAGAGAGGCACCTTTACTGCAGAACAGATATGGGGAAACTTGGGCCCTCCAGGTGTTTTGGACTTCAACTCCCATCATTCCTAACAGCCTCAGGCTCCTTCCTTTTCCCCCTCAGCCGCTTAAGCGCCCTCCCCCACGCTTAAGCGGCTGAGGGGGAAAAGGAAGGAGCCTGAGGCTGTTAGGAATGATGGGAGTTGAAGTCCAAAACACCTGGAGGGCCCAAGTTTGCTCAGGCTTTCTGTAGAATGAATCCAGGTTAACACCTCTAGGCCTGGGCGCCCCACAGCCTTGAGCCAGGGCAATCCAAGCGGCGTCCCCCTGCCTGCCTGCCTGCCTGCCTGCCTTCCTTCCTTCCTTCGTGGGGGAGGGCCTTCCTTGGGTCCGGCTTGGGTCGGGCTCCCTTTCCCATCCGTCCCGAGGGGAGGAGCGTCCTTTCTGAGCGCCTTCCAGGAAAGTTACGTGACTGACGGGCAGAGGCGCGACCGGATCCAAAGCGGGGCGGAGAAAGGCCAAGAGGGGCAAAGAGCAACGAGGCTGGGAAGAGGAGGGGGAGGAGAGGGAGGAGGGGCGGGTGGTGGAATTTCCCCTGAAGCAACGTGGATCCGGAGATTTTGAGGCTGGGAAAGGTGGTGGAGGACATGGGGCGTCTCCTAAGCCTGCTGGGTATCCACAAACCCGAGCCCCCCTCCACACAGCTTTTCTAAA